TAACATGCCCAAGTTGGAGAAACACTGGACAGACGTACTGAAGCTCAACCTATTAATGGCCTACATCACACGTTACATGATGGGCACAGACAAACTCAGGTATACCTATATATTACCTTACTCCTGATATTTAATTGGCACATGGGTTGATTGCGGGAGATTGAGTTTATAAGGGATACCTTCTCGGGTCACGGACAAACTCTTTACACCTGGCTGATCCTCCCACGAGTAACATATTATCAGCAGTATATAATCGCAAATTTGGGATTATATACTGCTGATAATATCAAGGGCTGATCATACCTTATTGTAATATTATGGAAGGACGTATTGGAAGGTGTGGATGGACAGTCAGTAGTGTATTGTACGCTATTGTCTGTACACCTATTCTCTGTCGCTGTCACTTCAATCTATACTTCCTGACTTCTTAAGTGTCTATAGTCATGTGTAGCGACCAATATTATACTTAAATTATACTTGAATTATAACAGTTACTCTACGCTATATCCGGTTTATGCTGCTCGGTGTTATCCTGTAATAAATGTGCATCGTTTCCTCTCAATTCTGGTCTTAGCCTTTGACTATCTACTTCCATAACTACTAATCTACTTCCTTGGTTATTCTCCTACCTTTCCCTCAGCACTTGTGTAGCGTCACGCCAGACACTACACATGGCTCTATCAGGAGTGAATAATAATAGATTATAATAATTATAATTAATAGATCCATAATTATTAATTCATAGTTGTATGCTCGCCGTGGGAGTTAACGGAGTGCGCGTGCCGCAGTGGCAACGAAGCTCTTAATTTATCCCGCGTGTTTCCATTAGTGCTTAAATAACGCACCTAACCTTTGACTTTTGAAGAGCAGTAATTTAATGTTGTTGAGCTCACATGTGCATTTATGAGTCTTAATTGAGCTGATGTGCATAGATGCGGTACTTTAGTGATTCCAACCAAATTAAGGGGGTCGTGTGTGCAGTTGAGTGGATTTGCTGATAGATTGGTGTGTGTGTATGTGCGTGCGCGCGCGCGCGCGTGTGTGTGTGTGCGTGCGTGCGTAGGGGCCTATTTGTGCGTATGTCACGTGTGCATATGTATGTGCGTGTGTGTGTGTGTGTGAGTGTGTGCGTGCGTGCGTGTGTGCGTGCTTGTGTGCGTGCGTGTGTGATAGTGTGCAACTATACATGCTTTTATATGTAGGTATCTGCACTAGCCTTATAGTTAGAGCTGTTCTAGAGACTGTTTTCTTGCAACTTTGTGTTTTTTTGATTCCCTGATTTGTATATCACGTTTGGTCTACGACATATCTAAGAAAATCGCATCTGATCATGTAATTAATGGCAGATTGAGAAGCAGACGGACACATTAAATAGCATTTAGATTCATCTTTACCTCATCCCTTCCAGGCCAAATTCATTCGAGGTGTTAGCAATGGACTGCAGGAGTTCAGGAGTCGTGCACTGTGACGACACCAATGCGCTGTCAGACTGGGTGAAGCATATATCAAACAACATCATGGCTGCCAATGTTCACCACGTAAGCTATCACAATCTAAATACCGCCAGGGATTAATAATGAAAAATTTTGAAATTTTGAAATATTGACATCTTTTAAAATTTTGAAAAAAATTTGAAATTTTAACATTTCGGTTATTATTCACCTCTGATACCATTCAATTACAGAAACTAAACCTTCGGGTAGAAACTCCGGGATATAGTGATAATAGGAGATAGTTTTAACTTCTCACAACATGGCCCACATGTAATGCTTACTTCAAGCGTTTGCATTTTCACAATTGGGACTCACTCACACACGGGAGCGAGACGAGCCTATCCTTTTGGCCTTTCGTATATTTCTGTTTATTTGTTGTTGTTGTTGTTGTTGTTGTCGTTATTATTATTGTTGTTGTAATGAATTCCGCATTCGTAGTGTTATTATCATAAATATGCAGTTTGTGAGCCATGAAAAATTTACTACGGCGACACGAATCCTAATATATATATGCTATAAAGAATTCAAGATTGAATTCGGAAAGACGTATAGAGGTTAACAGTCGATACTTATTAACACCGTAAGATTTTTTCATTCATAGTTCGTTATGTTGGATATGCTCATCTAATTAATTATTTAACTAAAAACAATTTCATGTCAATGAAGACGTAATGCAGAATTTAATTTTTGTGAAATCTTAGGCAAGCACCATTCAACTTCTGAGCTGAATTAACAAGATATTTATTAATGAATATGCTTATTGTATTTCTTCAGTCGTCATATAGTAATATCAAGCGATAAAAGTCTCTAACCTCATTACCAGTATTACCTCACTGATTTCATTAAATATTATGTGAGGTTTAAGTCGTGTTTATTATCTTGTATCGTAATACATTGTTCATCATTTTTCCCCAATTTTTTTAGATAAAGATGTTAAACCGGGCGCTTCCGGCACAAGAACAGGTGAGCTAAAACATCGGATTTTAATTCCCTGATTTGATATTTAGCCGCGCTAACAGAAAATCGATTTTAAAGCAGCCATATTCTTACGTGGTTTTGATCCCCAGTTTTCTTTCTTTGGGTCATAAATTACAAGTTTACTTTTTTGAATCGCAATGTCGAAGTCAAATAACAAATTAATTTTTCGTGTCTCCATTTCCGAAGATCTGCTAATGGTGGGTCTGCTAGTAAACTGAATGGCAGTTACGCTTACTTCGACATTTTACATTTACCGGTTTTCATCACGCTGAATATTGCTTCGAGAAGATGTGAAGGACCCCTCGCGTGTGAGGAAAATTCGTTAACATTGGCCTATATCGAATTTCTCTCGGTTTCACTTAAACAGTTGGCGTGTCTGCGAAATATCTAGAGAGACACGCCAACACAGAGCACAGAACACAGCGCTATAATTAACAGGGCGTATATTGTAATACGTTTATGCAATCAAGTCGGCCAACATTGAAACCGCATTTATCTCTTGAGGGTAATTTCCTCAAGAGATAAATGCGGTTTCAATGTTGGCCCCAGGCATGCTCGTTATAATTAAAACTCGCAGCTAGAACTTTCGTCTTCGACCTTCCTCTGGCAATATCAGTGATGATGGGTCCCCTGACGTCACTGCCACTGCGTTTGATTATTTAATTAATTAAATTTATAAAGAGCAAAGGCTTAGTTGAACACTTACTCTTGCTACTTTCGTAATTAAATTCTCACGGGTAATACATAATGGGAATATTATAGAGTAATGACCAAAACTACTCGACGGGTAAAGAATGTGTGCGTGCGTGCGTGCGTGCGTGCGTGCGTGCGTGCGTGCGTGCGTGCGTGCGTGCGCGAGTGCGTATGTGTGTAAACCCGTCATTTCAATGGTGGGTCGGTGGGTAGGCTAAACATGTATAACAGGGCGGGTTGTTAAATGTATGCGAAGGTTTTTTATGTGTAAATTAGCCCTCGATTCAAGACGCCTCGCCACGACGACCATGTCCAAAGGTCTATCGCGCAAACTTTCATTAGTTTCAAATGTGATTGCTCTCAATCTTAGTGAAAGTCCACGAGGCTTATCTTACACTTGGTCTTAATAACTTGCGCGTCTGTCGCAGATCCTGTTCATAGGCTGGGCGTGCGAACGCATGCCGTCTACGAAGCACTGGCAGACGTGCGTGTGGCGCCCTCGCTTCATCGTGCTCAAGGGCTGTGACGTCTGTTTTCTAGACAACCCTCCTGTAAGTACAAACAAGTGAGCATGCACGTACACGCGTCAATGTCGACAGGCAATGTGCCTACGGAATACCTACAAAGACACGTATAATATATAATTATGTATATCAGAAGTAGATAATAGGGAATCTATTATCTATTCCTATTATTCCCTATTATCATAACTTCCTATAATTTCCCTATGTATCTAATTCTGATGTATCATATATATTATCTATATATATATATATATAGTATATATATATTATGTCATATATAGTATGGTGAGAGAGCGCGATTTGTACGTTTACAACGACGTGAAACCCGTGCGGCATGCAGGCAAGGACTACAGTTAATGTTTGGTGCAAATTGCAAATTTAAAATTGCTACCTACGACATTTTCTTTGATTGACTCAGCCGCTCAGGGCTCGAAAATATCAGGATCAGAATTTTGCTTCTGTTAGCACTGCTGTGCCTATATATATATATATATATATATATATATATATATGTGTGTGTGTGTGTGTGTCCACTGGCAGATATTCAACAGTCGGTGTTAGTTCTACTTGTGCCTGCCAACAACGCGTAATAAATGTTATATGGATCGGCTGGGTTGCTATAGGCGCGCGTATTCATGGTCTTGCCCAAGCCGGCACCAAACTATTGATCTGCAGTTTTACATTGAAACGCTTTGTTTTCCCTGTTCGTTGGATGTGCGTGTGTGTGTTGTGTGTGTGTGTCTGTGTGTGCGTGCGTGCGTGCGTGCGTGCGTGCGTGCGTGCGTGCGTGCATGCGAGTGTGTGTGTGTGTGTGTGTTGTGTGCGTGTGTGTGCTTGCGCGCGTGCGTGTTTGTGTGTGCGCGCGTGCGTATGCGTGCGTGGGCGTGGTTGCGTGCGTGCGTGCGCGTGCCCGTGTGCGCGAAAGAGAGAGAGGGGGAGTATGTGCTTGTTACAGCGGGTGCCATTAGAAGACTTTAGAAATCCGCGATTTTTTAGAATCCGCCATAACTGGCAACACATGGCATAAGGGAAGCGACACTCACACACCGACATCATCGCCTTCACAGTCGACCATCGCTAAGGGTCGAGCGCATGCGCAGAAGCATTCACTGACGCGCCTACGTGCACGACTGTTAAAATCTAGACTCAAGCCTCACCGCCCGTGGGCTCAACGCACTCGATGGGGTTAACGTGTACAATTACGTTTATAGCTGCGAATCCCCCCACCCCTCCCCTCCACCCCCCCCCCCCCCCCCCCCCCCCCCCCCCCTCCCTCCACCTCCTCCACTTCGCCTCGGTAGTTAACTTGATGAAACGCGCGTCTATACCCTGGACGAACGCGCCCACGCGCATTCTACCCTAGATATACGCGATGCACGCATCGTCATCCAGGGTAGCTCTACCGGTGTAGCTCCTTCGCTGCAGCTACAGGGGCGGCAGTCCAGGCCTTCGCTTCGTGTTCATTAGGGAGGTTTCACTTTGCAGACGACCGCCTGTGATTTAACATTTACTGTCTGGATGCGTTGCTCTAATCGAAATTACACCGATTAACGTTATTTAATCGATTAACGATCGATTAATCGATAATTATATTTATTTAATCGATTAACGTTAACGTGCTCCACTTCGCATGGATTTAGATCGACTGCAGGCGTTCCTCTGTCGATATGCATTCCGTAGAGCTGATCATTGTTTCCTGTTCTTACATGAATACTACTATTGAAACCATGAAACACCCCCCCCCCCCACACACACACAGCCACTTCTCTATGCTCCACAGTCTATTCTCCTGTTGTCCACTAATATGAATATGGTTTGAAACACATCCCCACAGAGCCAGTGAGTCTATTCCCCTAATATCTACAGTGTTGTTACGTCTTCGAGACCTTTCTCAAGCGGGTCTCCCAGAAAGTTCTTTCCGTAGAAGTACATTTTGTAAGGATGGATGATCCAGATCTGGTCCCCTGTTCTAAAATCTATTATACGTGTGGTCAGTTTGTTGTGTTTCCCATTGTTTCCATTCTTCTGTTAAAGTCGAGAGGGTTAGGTGGACTATTGTGTGAAATAATTATGCAAATTCGCTGCGTGTTACAACGATAATTAGATTAGATTGTGAAATTAAGTGCGGGGCGGGAATCGAAGATGTGTGTGACAAAACGAAGGCGAGAGAATTGTGTTTTGAAATCAGCTTGTCACGCTGTTTACCATAATTCGATTGGTATAATTTTCTGTGCAAAATAAAGTAAAACGAGAAAATCCGAACTCGGATTCACCCCGTTTCGACGCGATTCTGATGTCTTCACTAATTTGAAATTAAAATGAGGGATGTCTGCCGTTGATATGGATCCAGTTTGCCCGAATATTTTACCGTAATTGTTACCATCCTAGTAAAATAATGTTTACAACTTCTCTTACTTGTCATCTGTTAATCCGATTGCGTTCTGCTTCACGTTACAGTTGCAAAGGGAGGATTGGTTGGACTGCGAGCCAAGCTATAGAATAGTGGACACAATCTTTCATATTTATAAGGTACGCCACTATAGCATCTTTCACCGAGAGATCCCTTCTGTCTCCCGCATGTATAGACAATGCGTATATATATATACAGTTTGTGCATCGTGTAATGTGAATATCCTACATGCCTGTACCATCAGTTATCGTCTGCAATATCTTCTACATAAGTCTTTACATAAAAATTTCGTTTTTTTTCTTTTCCATCATCTTTTCTATCACGAAATAGAACGCGTTTGGGATTTTGAACGAAAACATTTATCTGATGATTGAACACTTTGATGGGAATTGATAAATTTCTAGGCGCAGTAACATCGTTCTCCTTGACTCCATCGATTTTCTAATGCATTCATAGAAAACCGTCCACTCTAGTTTTTACCAAATTAGCTGAATGTCATGATAAATTAGTATCGACAAGTGCATGCAATTAACACTCGTGTAAACGCGCTTCATTTGGCATTTGACAAATTACTGTGAGAAATTTGTAGAAAGCAAATTGAGTACAGTGAGGGTTCGAGAGTTTACGGGTGTAAGCTCAAGAGGCATGAGCGACAATTTGAAGTGATCTCGTTTATTTCTGGCAGTCCGAGACAATCTTTGAGCAATATGAAATAATTTTATAATGCAACTTTAATTTCTCACTAATCCTGTGGTCACGCGCACACAGTATGCTGTGTCGATGTGTGCCGACGTACAGTTGAGTTTTCTACATTGTTACCATCTCTCACAAATAGCCAGATAATTAACGTGAATTGGCTTGCCAGGTACAGGAATTCGTGAATAATTAACAATGCTATTGCATGCAGCATATCCGCCTCTCTGTCTGTGAGATTTCTGCGACAGTCAACGAATGCCCCTTGCGTGTATCGGAATTTCAATGAAAAAATCGACAACACGCAAGTGCCTGGCAGCCTTATAGCTCGAGATTAGCAAACGTATTATACTTTCCTTTCCGTCCTCTCTATAGAGTCTCTCTCTCTCTCTCTCTCTCTCTCTCTCTCTCTCTTCGCTCTCGGCGTCTCTCTGACTCAGGCTCTTTACTTTCCTGCTCTCAACTTATTCCTAAAATCTTTCTCTCCCTCTCGCTCTCTCTCTATCTCTCTCTCTTCCTCTCGCTCACGAAATTCATGATCATAATCCATAATCCACTCTCGGTATATTCAAAACTGCGAGTATTGCACAGGATGGATGACTCACGCATATATCATGATATACCTGCCTCCCGTTTACTATATACAGGAGCAGAGAACCGCTGCAACGAGATGCATGTATATACGTGTGCATGCGGTACCATTCGAGCATTGCACTCTCAATAATTTACGTGAAGCTCTTTATACGCCGTATCTGTGGAGAATCCCGTCGTGTGTTTTTTTCTCTGTACTCGCCGCTCGTGGGGATTGTCGGCATGTCTTCAAAGCGCATGGCTTCGGTAACTGTAAATCAGGTGTAGTCAGGCGGACGTGTGGCTGGGAGGGGGGCTGGATTCTACATGTGTTTATCTCAGCGTAGGGTAAAGCTTAGCGTACCCTGTCACAATCTCTCGCTCTCTCCATTGCGAAGCTCGGATATATGCCACTATGTCGTTGTCAGTTTTGTTGCTGGTCTTGTTATTATCATTATCATTATTATTATTATTATTATTATTATTTTAGTTGTTGTTGTTGTTGGTGTTGTTGTTGCCGGTGCTGCTGCTGTAATTACCTCCGGCCAGAGGGGTTGGCAACTGGCAGGAGTTATGTTTTTCACCCGGGTGTGTTTGACCTGTTTGTTGGTTTGTGGGTTTGTGGGTTTGTGGGTTTGTGTAGCAGCCCTAACTGAATAAAGTTATGGAGCGGATTGTCATAAAATTTTCAGGATAGGTCAGGAATTTGCCTAAACTTAGAATTGATGAGATTTTGGTGGTGATTCCGGATCCAAATTAATTCATTAATTAGTTAATTATCAAATTAAATTTTCAGGATGAGGTCAGAAATGGGGGTAACTTAGAATTGATTACATTTTGGTGGTCATCCCGATCCAATTAAGTTATTTATTAATTATTAATTAATAAAAAAATTACTTAATTAACTTAATTAATTATCAATTTTTCATGAGTGAGAGACTTCAGGACTGCCTTGGCGGCGGTCTGTGCTTCTCGCAGTGCTCTATGTTGTATTGTTGTAGTAGAACTCGTATCACCATAACTCATAAATTTTCGTTGGCTTTTGTTGAGAGAGGCATAGTTCTGTTAATTCGCCTTCAACTGGCAATTAAGAGTGATTCATGCGGCACTACTCATGAATTAATTCAAAGCCTGTATGAGTCACACGAACACGGGGATGGCAGTCTAGTAGGCTCACATTCGCGTGTGAACATTGACGAATGGTTGACGATGCTGTGCGATGCAAAATCTACAGAATTTACGGAAATTATCGTTTAAAATAAAGTGATCGGCTTTACTGCGCACATTCACGGTCGCCAACGGAACGAATATCACGCAAAAGCCTATTGATAATCAAAACTTTCACAAATATAACAGCCATGATATAACAGCTGTGCCAAAGGCTATAGTCCCTCTCTCTCTCTCTCTCTCCTCTCTCCCTCCTCTCCTCCCCCCTCTCCTCGGTCTCTCTCAGTCACTCTCTCTCTCTCTCTCGTTTCTCTACTACTCTCTCTCTCTCTTCTCTCCCCCCCCCTTCTCTCTTTTCTCTCCCGCCTCCTCTTTATCTCTGTCGTGATATAAACAGCAAATTTACATATTAATAAAAGCTGGAACATTAGCAAAAGATGAGGCAAAATAATAATAACATGAGGCGCTTTTATCCAATTTTAACAATCACCAAGTAAATAACTCAGCACCCTCTACCGTGGATTTTGTTTTCAGCGAATGCTGAGTATGCCGACGACAGAACATCACTTGCTGCAAGGTCGACAGCCGTGATGGGGAAAGTCGCTATCTGGCGAGCGGAGACGCACGCGAGCAGAGTTGATTAGACTTGAGAAGCGCCTGGTATAAAGGCGTCAGGCAATTGTGTCAACCAGATTGGGGTCAGGCTCTCGCGTCTCTCTCTCTCTCTGTCGGTCTGTCGCTGTCTCTCTCTCTCTCGGATCTCTCTCCTCATCATCGTCTCTCTCTCTGCCTCTCTCTCTCTCTGCTGCTGTCCTGTCTGTCGCTTCTCTTCTTCTCTCTCTTCTCTCTCTCTCACTCTCTCGTCTCTCTCTCTCTTCTTCTCCTCTCACGCTCTCTTCCCCTCTCTGCTTGGTCCTGTGCTCTCTCTCTCTCTCTCTCCCTCTCTCCTCTCCTCTCTCTCGTCTCCTTCCTTTCTCCGCTTCCTCTTTTTATCTTCGACTCTTTTCCTCTCATCTTCTTTCCTCTCGTCTTTCTCGCTTCCTCTCTTTCTCTCTCCTCTCCTCTCTCTCCTCTCCTCTCTCTCCCTCTCTCTCTGCTCCCCCTCTCTCCTCTCTTTCTCTCCTCTCCCTCCTCTCTCTGCGTTTCTCTGCTCTCTTTCTGCTCTCTCTTTCTTCCTCCCCTTTCTTTCTCTCTTTCCTCTCTCTCTCATCTCTCTCGGCGGCGCGCATCTCGTCTCTCTCTCTCTCTAATCTCTCTCTTCTCTCCTCGTCTCCTCTCTCTCGCTCTCATCTCTCTCTGCTTTTCTCGCTTCCGTTCTCTTTCTCTCGTCTCTCTCATCTCTCTCTCTCTCTCTGCCTCCTATCTCCATCTCTCTCTCCCTCTCTCTATCTCTCTCTCTCCCTCTCTCTCTCCCTCTCTCTCTCTCTCTCTCCTCTCTCTCTCTCCGCCTCACATCCGTCTCTCTCTTCTCCTTTCCTCGCTTCTCTCTTTGCTCTCCTCTCTCCTCCTCTCGTCTCGTGTCTCTCTCTTCTCTCTCCTCTCTCTCCTCTCTCTCTCTCTATCTCTCTCTCTCTCTAGGCATATATCCATGTCTACATTCCCTCCCTCTCTCTGTGTGTGTGGCTCGCTTGCCTCCTCTCTCCTTCTCTCCCTCTCTCGCACTCTCTCCCTATCTCTCTCTACACCTCTCTGCATATCTCTCATCACCTCTCTCTCGCGTGCTCTCTCTTCCTCTCTCATGTTCTCTCTCTCGCTCTCTCTCTCTCTCACTCTTCTCTCCTCGTCTCACACTCCTCTCTCCTCTCCTCCATCCGATTCTCTCCCTCTCTCCTCTCTCTCTATCTCTAATCTCTCCTCTCCTCTAGGCATATATCCAGTCTAACATCCCTCCCTCTCTCTGGTGTGTGGCTCTCCTCTCCCTCGTCTCTCTGCGAGTCCTATCTCTCTCTCACTCTTAGTCTCTTTCTCTCTATCTATCTATCTAACTGCTAGTGTTACAGCGTAGTGGTAGGTACGAGGAGGAGCTGTGGCGTGGCTGGCAGCACTAAGTGGCTTTCGTTGACACAGTGTCACATCATCGCAACTGATAAGTCCTGTCCCATGTCAATGCTTTCACGCACAAGCACTCCCTCCCCTGATATTCTTTTATTCATGCCAAACCCAAGAGCTAAGCAAACATCTTCTCGGATTCAAGCGAACGCTGACTTTACCTACAAAACCAATCTTTCGTCATCCGGTAGCACGAGAAACTTGATATACATACTCATTCATAGACCGCACTGCGGTGTACACGTCGCATACATTGTAAAACGTCTCTTCCATACAGAGGTTATTACGGTTGTCATCATGAGTTACGCATACGTTCTTCTTTGCAGAGTAAAACGTTTGCGTGCAGTTATCGTGATAAGCCGGCCGGACTAACGCTTGACATGACCAGTGGTTTCTCATTATTTGATACGGAATCGAAGGTAAGCAGCAACCATTGCTGTTGTTATTATTACCATAAACTTAAATAATAATATAAAATATGAATTGTAACCATATTAAACATAGTTAGTTACCGTTGTTGTAGCCTTCTGTAGCATCTGTAGCAAGCACAGTGTGTCTTGCGATTTATATATTTATTCTCATTACGACTCTTATCATGTCGTTCCTATTGTGTTAAATAAAAATCGAATGCATTTTTGCACATTTTTAATTCTCTTGCTTCGTCACAGAGAGACAGTTTCAATTCAAACGGATCAATACTGCTACGTTCTAAAAAAAATCGATCGCGGCAAGAGATAATGGTTCTTTGTATCTTAATTTGTTTAAAAAATTATATTCGTGTGTTTAAATTTCGTAAGAAATCAAAACCTCGATCAATTATACACGTCGGTTATTGCTATTCTAGATAATTATCATCACATCTCATGCTCTCTCTTCTTTTAGCAATACCTGTGGCGGTACAAATTTTCACAACTGAAGGGTTCCTCAGACGATGGCGAGACGAAAGTAAAGCTAATGTTACAAGAAGGGAAACTCGTCGAAACCAGAGTGAGTCAAACGCACAGCCGTTGCATTGCGACTATTTTGTACGCTACTCCAGACACTGCCAGCGTAGTAATAGGTGACCGGTGTTTTCTGCAGTTGCTTTTACTTTGATTGTGATCTACTTCAAGTTCTTATTTTATGAGCGGCCATTGGCAACCATCTGGTTCGAACTATTAAAAACATCGAGTCTCTATAATCACACGGCAAAGAGAAAGCAGATTGCACGTAAAAAATGCATGCGCGAAATTGAGAGAACGAGCGAAATGGCCGGAGCGTGAAATGGAGTGAAATTACTCGGAGGAATTGGAATAGAACGACGATGTATCGTTCGTCGGTGGGCTGCTCGCTCGAACGATGCAAAAATCCATCGCTTTTATCATAACGAGACTCAACGTATCTCTGCTGAAAGCTTTACTGTTAATTATTAAAAGTTTGCATTTTAAAGCGAATTAATGTTGCCTACGGGATCCATTAGTTACGGAGTGATGTTCAGTACGCTGTCTTCGTGTTTGAGATGCGTGTTGCGATGGGCTTCGTTTCCTCTGGGTTTCTGCTTCCCATGCTCGTTATCCATAAGCGTTCTTCTTCTTCTTCGTCTGCTGCTGCTGCTGCTCCTCCTCCTCCTCCTTCCCCTCCTCCTCCTCCTTCTCCTCCTTCTCCTCCTCCTCCTCCTCCTCCTCCTCCTCCTCTTCCTTCTCCTCATCCGCCTCATCCTTCTCCTCTTCCTTCTCCTCGTCATCTTTCTCTTTCTCCCCGTCTTCATCATTCTTATTCTCCTCCTCCTCCTCCTCCTCCCCCTCCTCCTTCTCCGGCTAATCAATAATAGACCTCTCTTCTCCATCCTTGTCATCAGTGAGCTTCTCTCTCCCGTCCTTACCATCAGTCGCTTTCTCTCCTCCATCTTCAATATCGCTGAGCTACTATCGCCAATCCCCATCGGTAATGGCCTTCTTTCTTCACATTATTAATGGATTTTCGCTTTTATTCTCACTATTTATATGCGCCTCTCTCCAAGCCCCATTACAAGTGGCCTTTTTTCTCTATCTCTCTCTTCTCTCTCTCTCTCTCCTCTACTCCGCCTCTCTCTCCATCTCTCTTCTCCCTTCTCCTTGGGCGTCCCTCTCTCTCTCCTCTCTCTCTCTCTCTCTCTCTCTCTCTCTCCTTCTCCCTCTCTTTCCCTCCCCTTCTCTCTCTCTCTTCCTCTCTCTTTCTCTTTCTGTCTCTCTCTCTTCTTCTCCCCTTTTCTCTCTTTCTCCATTCCTTACCACCAGTGCCCCCCTTGCTTCAATACTCATCACCAGTAGGCTTCATTTCTCTACCTCCTTCTCATCAATCCCCATCGCCAGTGGCCATATCTCTATCATAACCACATCACACATCGGGTTCTATCTTATCTTTGTAGTCAGTGAATCTCCTCTATCCCTCAAATCCCAGTAGCGGTTTCTCTATCATATATACCCATCACACGTTCGGCTTTCTTTCTCCTCTTCATCGCTAACGATTTCCTCTGTCATCTAAGTTTTTTTTTGAGCTTCCCTTTTATGTTCCGATAGAGCCACATTCTCACACTAACTACAATTTTTTTTTGCTCCTGCACTTCGATACCACTGTAGTTATTTCCTATTCTTGTTGGTTTCTATCTATATCACCCTTATCTTCACAGTTTATCCCACGTACTATTTCTCTCTGCTCCAATCCGTGTAATCAGTGGATAGACTAATATAATTTGTTTTAATTTGATCAACATTGTTTATTAACTTGTTTCCGAAATTTAATTCATAAGTGTAAATAAAGTAAATTTAATTGAATTGAATGTAATTGGACTTATCTTCTTCATTGCTATTCACGCTTCTTGTTTTTGTCATGTGTTTTAACATATGTGTGTCGGTTTTTCCAGGAGCTCGAGTGTGCCACCTTACAGAGCCTGTTGTTCTGTATGAATGCCTTCCTGACAGCCAAGCTTGCCGCTGTTGACCCAAGCTTCCTCAAGAGTTCCTAGGATGCTACACAACTCATATTATATTCATTTGTACGTGCGGTATTGTATGCAATGTACGGTTAATTCTCCTTAATGCGAACCCGTTGTTGTCAGAGACGAAATTAGTCTTAACTTCTCATAGACTGTTGAGAGAAACGGTGAGGTTACGAGTTTCTCATACAGTGCATAGAGGGCGGGTCTATGAGGAAATGTTTGTTAAGGTTAATGTTAAGACTAATTTGTTCCTGACAATGGACCTCTGTATATTCTCTGTGGAAACGTGTAAGTTGTGGATGTTGCAATCATGGAACTTTACGTTTGCATGGTACTATATTTTATGCATTACTCGCTTCAAGTTGTGATTGAAAAGCAAATGTACTTAACAACTCTTGCTGTTTTAAATAATTGAACTTTGATTGTTTCCTTTTTCATTTTCTTCTTCCTGAAATGCGTAAACGTTTCATCTTACAGAATCACGTGAAAACTGCAGATTGCCTGGATAACGTTGCAGATTCCTAACTATGCATTTCTGTCAGTAAATTTAGTTTGATTTGGTTTCAGTGAACGGCCCCCCTCAAATCACTGCCGATCCGATATTCACCTACTACTGAACCAGCGAGAAGAGAAGAGTCAGAAGATTCGACACATTTTGAAGTGTCTACGTATACATTTACACTGATAACCGCTGCGGATATCTGCCTTGCTACTAAGTTTATTCGTGAACTGTTCCGTGTTGATTGATTGATTGATCGGTTGATCGATATGTGACTATGTGGCGGCCTCTTTTTCTGGCGCATACTTTATTGATCTTAGCGTAAGATCAGACGCTTCAAATAATGTAGCGGTGAGTCAATATAGTGCTGCCCCCTATCGTCCTTCCGTTTGGAATATAAGTTGATAATAACGTCGGCGGTCCACAAGAGAGGGATGCGAAAACGACATCAACCCAAATCTAAATTAATTCACGAGTAATTCCTGCACACTCTCATAACGCTCGAGGCCTGAGGTGAAGAGTTGTCGGCAAATTCGAATGAAAACAAATATGTATTAAAACAGGGAATGATTTTTAACAGAGATATAATAATTATAGTCTGTCATACGCAGGGAAAATAATTTATAGCAAGCGCAAATAAAACAAATAACTCGGGTGTGTTTTTTTCTATCGATGTCTGCATCCTAATTACTCAGATAATATGTTAGAGGATTTGCTTGAAAATGCGACACGAACTCTGTGTGGTACTTTCCCCTTCTTGTTCTATAGTCACTCTAAAACAAATATGTTTCTATACTACGTGTATGATATCAAACGTCATTATCATCGCGCCTGCACATTTAGCTCGTCCTTATACTTTACTATTGTCCTAATATTTTTAACTTGTATATAAGTTACACTGCACTTCACAGTTGCATGCAGTGGTGTAAATATTTATTTTATGTACAAAAAAAGATTTGCGTAATATATCCGCGTGATGCGTTATATCATGTGTTTTGTTGAGAGTGATATTAGTTACTGGTGTTTGTAAACCTAAGTCTCATAACATTTCACAAGCGTAGGGGTACGCATTCACAGCGCACGTGCTTTTACACCATTGCGACTGATTGTGTCAATATTACGCATTCTAAAAAGCTCAAAAGTTATCCCCATTGCTTAAGCAAATATAATTTGGTCTTTCGACCGCATTTAAATGATAATAATTAATTAATTATCCGCTGTCTGCATACATAGATAATTTATAGCACGTGTGCAACGAATGTTATCAATAAACGGGAGCTGGAGTGCACTGTGCGTGTACTAACTTACCGTCTTGCATCCTATCAACGTAAACAGACCGATCGTAGACGATACCAATTGCAGGCCGGTTTACACTCGTGGTGTATTTGACGACCGTGTACGTACCATGTACACCGTCTCTACGGTGTGCTGGGTCTCGGTCTCGCTACGATGATTGGCACTTTTCCAAAACCGTTCCAAAAGGTCAAGCAAAGGTTATAACTTTCCGAACTAGTAGGATATGTCGGAATGGTTGATCTAAATTATTATATATCTAAATCTTTTTGATCTAAAGTTATACGCACGTCAGTGGTTTATATAAGAAGGTTTTCGTGAGGGCGGGATTAAGAGAACTACGTCACATATAACGAGGTTCTGAACATCTGATAGGAACATCAACCTGAAGAATGAACATATACTATTATGTCGTTATACGTGTTGCTGGAACCTTTTTTGATTTACAGAGGAACGATGATACCCTCAGTCTACCTGCCTCACGTGGCGGGTTGTAATTATTAGTAATAAAGGTGCCAAAACTACGCAACGTATGCTGTTTTTGGCAGGTTTCATTTTTTAAATATGACCTGATGGTTATTTTTCTCTCGTGTTATGGTATTTATTATTATACTAATAATATAATACAACATTATTCATGCGATTATTTTACACAATGAACTGTTTTGTTGCTGGACACAACAGTACTAAGCCAAGTTGCCTAGGTTATCCGTTTTAAGCCTCTATTCACTATTATCAAAATGTACATTTATATTACTAATGTTGTGTTTATTTTAATTTTATTTTAATAATACCTTACTTTACGTTTACATCACATGTTACATCTACACACTATGTACAAGTACAGTTCGGTAAACTAACGCAATTTTAAATCTGTATTACATGCACATGGTGAGTTACATAAATCGATACGTTTTTCTTACAAAATATTGAATAAAGTTATTCTGTATAATAATGTATTCACATGTTCAAGTCCTCATCATGTACGTAACATCTATAAAGGTTAATACCCCCTTCACATACACGGATTTTTCTTACGAGTCCTTACGGATCGCCAACTCGTAGTCAATCGCAAGCATCCGTAAATAACTCGCTGGTATCCGTATTAACTCGTCACAACTCGCAGACACTCGTAAGGATCCGTGAAAGGAGAGGCAAATTTTTTGACATGTCAAAAACCTTCTCACGAGTGTCCACGGATTGATTTTTTCCGTAAATAACTCGTAACAATCCGTAAGTATCGTAAACCGCTCGCAACAACACGTAACCATCCGTAAACTGCTCGCAAGAATCCGTAAATGACTCGTAAACATTTTTGTTACGATTTTCTATGGTTAGTTTACGATTTGTTTACGGATTATTTACGGATTATTACGAGTGCTTACGTGTTGTTTACGATTTCATTCGGGTCGTGTTACGATGGCTTTACGGATTGTTACGAGTTATTACGAGCACTTTACGAATAGATACGTATACTTTACGTATTCTTACGTATTGTTTACGATTTGGGAGAGGCTGCAAAATCGAACACGTCATTTTCAGTTGTTATCAAGAGTTGTTATCAAGAGTTGT